AGTTGTTTCAATGGCAACAACTACACACTTGTGTGGAATCAAGACTCTTTATTGTTTTCCAAAGAAAGTTGTGCACGCCCAATCATTGTGCTCACAGCAGCGACTTAATTTTGATCCACTCACTGAATTGTGTGGAGCTTTGAGGGTTCCAGCTCCAAGCAGGGGAAGAGGTCTAAGGGTGGGTTGTGATGGGAGAAACAATGATGTTCTGGTTCAAAGTGAACCCAGAAGTCCAGGTTCGGAAGGATCAAACGACCATCATGCGTGATGAAGTTTGGTGGATCATCAGTAGCCTCAGCAGATAGGATGAAAGAAGTTACTGAGCTCATCCTCAGCTTTCCAAAAGAGAATAATGTGATTGTCCTCTCTGCTATGGGCAAGACTACGCTTATAGTGGTTTGTGCAACCACCAATTTTTAAATTGATATTCTAGTTGTTCCTTCAAGAAGTGTTAAAGTCAAATCTGTGTTGTGTCATATGGGCTGGATAAAAGGCTACAAACTATGTTTCTTATTGCATAATATATATGTAGAGCTTTCAATTTATTGTTGTACACGAATAGCACAAGGCCCTACCGACATTGGTTTCCTTGAAGATATTATGTTCCTCGAAAGAGTCTTTTATCAGATTAGGGGATGGGAGGCATCTTTTCTTCGAGCTGTTCAGATATATCAGACACAAATTGGTCGTTGTAGTGACCACGTTTCATATGCATCACACTCGGTTGTTCTTGACTTGTTTTACACTTTCTTTGAGTTCTAAATCATGAAATTAATCATCAAAAATATTTCCGCTCAATTCTTTCTTGTTGCAATTATTTATTACCGAGGTTACGAATACTTCTCTCGACTCCTATTTTTAAGGCCTTGCCTTATGCTTGTCCATTTGGGCTGATGTTCGTTTCTTCTGCTTCATATGGCAATGTGGTATAATGTTTTTAGAGTTTTTTGCAGACCACCTAGATAAATTAGAGTGACTTCTGAATGGGATTGTCGTACTGAAAGAGTTGACTCCACGTGCAAGGGACTACATTGTTTCGTTTGGAGAGTGCATGTCCACAAGAATATTTGTAGCATACTTGAACAAAATTGGTATCAAAGCCCGCCAAGTATGTGGTTTCTTTATTACTTAAATAAAATCTATGACTTAAAATTTTGCTACTTAGTGATGGCATGTTATCAGCCACCATTGTTTCTTGCTTCAAATTTGATTCCTCAAATGTAAGCTATAGGCCTATAGCAAGTTAGCAACTACTTCTATTCTCATCTCATTTTTATTATCTTCAAATAAGTAAACACAGCACGCCTAACAAAAGCTATCCATAAATACTGTCATGAGGTTAGATTACAATGCATTTTTAAAGTGTATTTGAGTGACCCAATTACAAATTTTATAATGTATTAAAAAAATATATCATTAAAAAATATTTTTTAATGCAGGGACCGAGACCGGGATCGATTTCCCATAACCGGTTATGAAGAACCTTGACTGGTCTTACCATTTTCGATCAGAACCGGTTATGGCCAGTTACGAGAAAGCTTGAGACCGATTAGGATCACCCCAGGATCGGTTTTTGGCCATCACTACGGTTGAGTGATGAAAATCACAGGACACCATGCTTTTGTTTACCAGCGCAAACTTATCTAGCTGTCTCAAGCTTTCTCGTAACCGGCCATAACCGGTCCTCATCGAAAATGGTAAGACCAGTCAAGCTTTCTCTACTGACACCTTGCTTTTGTTTTTATTCCTTCATGCAKTATGATGCATTTGATATTGAAGCAACTTATCTAGCTGTAGCAAAGAGASTACATGGTGATTGGATTAGAGATCCTATAATCCCTATTGTTACTGTTGGGAAAGTCTTTTACTTCTTGCATCCTCTCTAAAATTTCTTTGGATGGTTCTCTTACATGAATAACGAACTTGAACATTCTCGAAAGGACTAATTTAAATCCATATATAAATTGTAAGGTTGGAGAACTTGTGCAGTGACTACGGTGGGCAGAGGTAATAGTGATTTGACTCCCACAACCATCGGCAAAGGATTGGGTTTGCAAGAAATTCGGGTTGGTGAAGACCTTAAAAAATCACATTCTCATTAATTATGTAATTTTAGTTTGTATTCGTCCTCTAGAAGTTGTGTAAAAAGACTATCTCAAGCTTCTATATAGTGTCTTTTGAAGTTTAGTGTGGTTTCAGCAGAAGTTCTAATTTATTCTTTTTTTTTTCCATTTTTCCAGGTGTGGAAAGATGTGGATGGTGTTTCGACATGTGACCCTAACATATACTCAGGTGCAGAGCCTGTGYCATATTTAACTTTCAATAAGATTGAATCACAACAATAAACAATCTAAGTAGTTCCTTAAATTAGATTTAGAAAGCACAAATAAAACCAATACACAAATTCATAAACATTTCRAAAATCACATACCTATTGTAAGACARCACACTAAGATTCTAARGAGATTTTGRAGACGGMGGAGATTGAAGAGATTMTGGACAGTAATGAAAGGAAGACAATGATGAAACCTGTTAATCGAAATCAATTGTGAAAATTGAAATAAATGAAAATCAACTACATCTAGTAGTATGTATTTGATGCATACATTGAGTAGAATAAATAAAAACAATGAACAATTATATACGGAAGATAAAAGAAAGCAAAACTAAAAAGCCTAAGACTTTCAAGAAACATGATTTGGGTAAAATCAAACTGATAAAAATGGAAAACAAATTACCTCGATGTGCAGATGCAGAGAAGCTTGAAGCTCTTCCAGTAAATAAGTTAAAAGCTTGAAGTGCAATAAATCGATCGATGGAAACACAATTAACCCTAACCCAGAAGTGAAAATGGAGAAGAAAGATGAACACATAGTAAGAACTTGAAGAACAGGGGGGACGATGAACAACCATATCAAAATCTCTAATTTTGATTCTAGCACCAAGAAGAACATCAACTACGACGTACAACTTAAAACATGGAAAATTAACGAATGATGCTTACCTCCTCTGCTTGTATGTTTTGGTGAGGATGACAGATGCCAAATACATAATCCATACTATCTCAGAATCTGTTGGACCGATGAAATCGAATTGGGTTGGAATCGATTTCATCAAAATCTTTGTTCATGGGATATGGAAGGCGATAAAAATGGGATTGGGTTTAGGGATGGCGATACATGGGTTTGAAAATCGATTTTGTTTATGGGAATGGATGGCGATAAAAATGGGATTGAGTTTACGAATACGCATATCAGGGAGACCTAGTAAACAATCCCTAATTCCTACGATTGAACTAATTTCGTATTCAATCATATCATGATCTCAGAATCAACGGTGGTTCTAAGTGAAATTTTGACCTAAATTTGGAGAGATAACACATACCTTCTCGATCTCCGACGATCATGATCTCGAGAAGCATTCTTCTTCAAGACGCCATTGATAGTACAGAGTATAGATCCACCTGGACACCGTATCGAATTGGGTTGGAATCGATTTCATCAAAATCTCTGTTCATGAAATCGATTTTGTTTGTAGGATATGGATGGCGATAAAAAGGGATTGGGTTTAGGAACAGGGTTGCCGATAAAAATGGGATTGGGTTTAGAGATAAGCAGATCGGGGATGGCGGGGGTTTAGGGATAGGGATTGGGTTTAGGGATACGGATGGAGGGGTTTTAGATATAATATGCTTCAGTAGGTTGTACCTAAAGCAATAGAAATTGTTTTTAAGAGTTTAAGAGTTTAAGAATTTTAAGAGATTTTAAGAGTTTTAGCCAAATGCATTATAAAATAGTATAGATAATCATTGGTTTATTGGTTAGTTCTTTACTTTTCGTATGTAATGTTTTGCGTTTGAGTCTTTTATCACAACTTTTTTTCAAAAACATAATAAACCTGAAATTAACAACAAAAACCAAGAAAATGATTGAAACAAGATTTGAACCCGCACCTAGGATGGGAGAAAAGCGGTCCAAACTAACTCTACCAAGACAAACTTGTGTTATTATTGAATTTATAGATAAATTCATACATATTTGTTCATCATCATTACGAAATTTGCATCTAAATTGTTTAATTAACATTCATTTAAATGAAAATATGTCGTTAACGATATTTAACACATGTAAATTTTATTAAAATACATCAATTGAGAGAAGTGAGAATCGATTTTGTTAGGATCAATTAAGAGAAATGATTAATCGATTGAGAAATGTCATTGCTGAGGGTTTGTAGAACAATAAGAGGCAAATAAAAGGTTAGTTTACCTCTTGCCAGATAAAATAACAATAAGACATAAATATCTCTGAAATATTGAAAAAACAAACAATCTAAATGACCCTACCTCCTAATCAAACATAAAAAGTTAATAAGCAATTTTTTTTAAACAAACAAGACCTATGAATCAAGTCAAATAAAAGTTTAACTTTACATCTTAGGTATCAAAATGAAAATTTTAAATATATATTATCAAAAATAAAAATCAAATTAAAATATATTACTTTTTGTTCAATAGCTTTGAATGAAGTTTGTACACAAAGTTGTTTTAATAAACCATTTACAATTGTATAAATATTAATGGAAAAAAACAAATGTATTTAATAGCCTCATTATTATCTATTATTGTTACATGATTGGTCAATTTGCCTTTTTCTTGTTCACCATATGCCAACCACACACTAAGATGGTTGGTTTTTGTGAATGTGAAATTGGGGCCAAAAACTTCTACAAATATGGTTTTCTTTACCTTATATTATTATATCTACTTCTATCTTTCATATTCTCCATAGCCAATGGCAACCACTCCAAGAAGGTTGGTTTTAGTATTTATGTTATTATATATTAGCCATAATTTCATTATGTAGCATTTATTCTGTAGCAGTTGTAAATGTCTTTATTTTGATAATAATTCTTAAGTTTAATTAGAAAACCGTTGTGTAACTTGGAAATGTATAACCAAGTTTTGTGTTTGTTTCACATCTTAAAATATAACCAAGTTTATGAATTTTTTTGGGTATGATGTGAATAGGCTGGAGGGGAAAGTAGCATTGATAACCGGAGCAGCAAGTGGTATTGGAGAGTGTACTGCGAAACTCTTTGCTGAACATGGGGCAAAAATCGTCATTGCGGACATCCAAGACGAACTCGGTCAAGCGGTTTGTGAGGCCATTGGCTCATCAAACTCCATGTATGTTCATTGTGATGTCACCTGTGAAGAAGATGTAAAAAATGCGATAGATATTGCAGTTGCCATGTACGGGAAGCTTGACATAATGTTCAATAATGCAGGGATAACGGACCCTAACAAGGTACGTCTCATCGACAATGAAAAAACAGACTTTGAGCATGTGCTAAATGTGAATGTCACTGGCGTCTTTTTGGGTATGAAGCATGCTGCTAGGGTTATGATTCCAGCACGAAATGGCTCAATAATATCAACCGCCAGCGTTTGTTCAAACATTGGTGGGGTGAGCACACATGCTTACACTTGCGCTAAACATGCCATAGTCGGTTTGACCAAGAATATAGCAGTGGAGCTTGGACAATTTGGCATCAGAGTTAATTGTGTGTCACCTTACGGAATGGCTACACCAATGGCGACATATTTCACTGGGCTCGAAGGGGAAGCTATTGAGAACATGGTGAACTTACTTGGCAACCTTAAAGGTGTGACACTTAAAACAGATGATGTTGCTAAAGCTGCCCTTTTTTTGGTGAGCGATGAGGCTCGATACATTAGCGGGCATAACATGCTTATTGATGGTGGGTTCAGCATCGTTAATCCATCATTCGGCATGTTTAAATATCCAGAGAATTCTTAAATCGAGAAATTCAAGCTTGTTAGGTATTTTTAATCAAACAATTTTAAATTATGTATTTTAAATAATTTAATAAATCATTTACGATTATATAAATATCAATAAAAGAATGTGTGATTCAAATATGACATGGGAGTTGTATATGATATTGTCGAAGGTAATAATCAGTCAAAATAAATCTGTATACTTACATCAACGGTATGTAAAAGATCTCGTATGAAGATGAGCAAAAACATGTTTGAAAACGTCTACGACATGTTTGTCACTGGTATTCACAATCAGATGTACATCTGGTTTGTCAGCAAACTTAGATCAGTTAAATATTATATACTTCAAATAAAACTTTGATCATTTAAGCAAGTCCAACAAAGCTTTATACGATTATTTCATCAACCACAGTAGTATTATTCTAAAGATTATTCATAGTTTGGTAAAACCAACCAACCCAAATTAATTTGGCTAATTTGACCAACTTGAAGTACTTTAATGAGTCGGTTGGTTTAATATAACACGACAAATTAGGTGTGGTGCATGTATAATATTTAAGCATCGTTATCTGGCAAAAACTGATCTCAATCGGTCTCATATGAAACTCATCTTCATTTATATCAATGTGAGGGAGTACTTTTTGTCTTGCTCTTTGACTGAGGCTAGCGAAGGGGTCAGAATCATATCTGGGACTTGTCTTGTATTTAAACCACTCGTTAGAGGCTTTAGACATTGTTTGGCAAAAATAAGTTATCTTATTTTCTAGGTACACGCTTGGATGCACATAACTTAACTTACAAGCCAGCTTATAGAGTAGCGTTTTGTTAGTTTATTATCATTTTTTCCGATTGTAACCCTCGTCACATTAATTATTATCTATTACTATTAATTATAAAATAAATATTACTAATATTAATAAATATTAGTTGTTGATAGAAATTATTTGTATTAGTTAATATATCATATTATTATAGATTTATTTCAATTATAATTGATTAAATTTTCAAGATGTTCTTTTTAGTCATTTTACATTCTTATCAGTTAGTTTTTATCAAGTATGCTTTGTTCATTAACTAACTTATCGATTACCAACTAATTTATCAGTCATCAACTAATTTATCAAACAATCATTATTAATATCAATAAATGTTACATTATATGTTTACAAGACTATTTTTAGGATTAGATGCTTGTTTAGTTTCTCTTCCATTTTTGGCCACTTATATCTACGTGGGGTCCAAATCTAATGCAACCACATAAAATAAGGTTGGTTTATCTCAATGTGATATTTGCCCATAATTCATTTCCTACAAATAAGTGTCTATTTACCTTCTATTATATCCACTTCTATCTTTGTTCTCAAAATGGCAACCACTTCAAAAAGGTTGGTTTTTAGTGATTGCATTGTTTTCTATATATATATAACCCATTGCTTCTTTTAGAAAGTTTTGTATTTGAGAAAAGGGTAATCACTTGTTATTAGGATATATAGTGTTTGTTTTGTAATTCTGATGGATAGTTAAAGAAAGATCTAAGTGTCGGGGAGAACCAGTTAGCTCTGGGTTCACATCGTCCGTCACTCTATAGGAGTTGGTTATGCCTGAAGTCGTTACCTTTTATGGTTTATAAGTTAGACACTGTCTTATTATTTTTAAACCGTTTTAATGTTTTTGGTCTTTTTTTGTTATGTTTGGTCCAATGTGCGATTTAAACGCTAAATCAAGAAATTGATGGGAATACGTATCGTGTTTTCTTTATCAAAATCATATGTTCTTGAATTTAGGGGGAAAATAGTTGTTAATGACTTTATTTTAGTAACAATTATTGAGTTTAATTAGAAAGTTGTTATAGAATATGGGAGTGTAAAACCAATTTGCTTGAAAATAATTAACCCTGATTTGGTTCCAAGTTTTGTGTTTGTTTCACATCTCAAAATAACAAACATATGTTGGATACAATGTTTGTAGACTAGCGGGGAAAGTAGCAGTGATAACTGGAGCAGCAAGGGGTGTTGGAGAGTGTACTGCAAAGCTCTTTGCTGAACATGGGGCAAAAATCGTCATCGCGGACATCCAAGACGAACTTGGTCAAGCGGTTTGTGAGGCCATTGGCTCGTCAAACTCCATATACGTGCATTGTGATGTCACCAATGAAAAAGATGTCGAAAATGCCATAGATACTGCAGTGGCCACTTATGGGAAACTTGACATAATGTTCAATAATGCAGCAGTAATAGACCCTAACAAGGATCGCCTCATCGACAATGAAAAAACAGACTTTGAGCATGTGCTCAATGTCAATGTCACAGGCGTCTTTTTAGGCATGAAACATGCCGCTAGGGTTATGATTCCAGCACGAACTGGCTCGATAATATCAACTGCTAGCGTTTGTTCAAGTATTGCTGGGGTGGGCTCACATGCTTACACTTGTGCAAAGCATGCTGTAGCCGGTTTGACCAAGAATATAGCAGTTGAGCTTGGACAGTTTGGCATTCGAGTAAACTGTTTGTCACCTTATGGAATGGCCACACCAATGGCCACAAGTTTCTTGAGGCTTGAAGTGGAAGCTTTTGAAAACATGATGAACTCAGTTGGAAACCTTAAAGGTCCAACACTCAGAAGCGATGATATTGCTAAGGCTGCCCTTTTTTTAGTGAGCGACGATGCTCAGTATATTAGCGGACACAATCTATTCGTTGACGGTGGGTATAGTATTGTTAATCCATCATTCGGCATGTTTAAATATCCAGAGAATCCTTAATCAAGATTTACGTGAGTCACCTACGTCCAGTACCGAAAGTGATAATAAAAGTGGGCTTTTGATTTGATCAAAGTAGAGAAGCTCGCCTTCTTTATGATTTTTCATATCTCATTTCTAATTTCATGCAATTTAAGAAAGCACAACAATTGAAACGTGCGCTTACTATATATTTAATAAAGCAATTAAAAAAAGATTTATGGTTTTGTATCATATAATTATATGAGTTTGCCGACCTACTATCATGCTTTATCCAACATCCTCAATTAAGAGAAACTAAGAATATGTACATAGGAAAAAAATGAGTTCCAAATTCCAAATTGTGGTAAGCGTCTTTTACCCTGGTAAACAATTACCGGGTAAGAGTATAAGTTACCGTCATCGGTTAAGATTATCGGTCCTTGTTATGTCTCTTATCAGATAAGAGATCCTTACGATGCTCACCATGTAAATGATATTCGATAAGCGCTTACCCAGTAAGAGTTTGATAAACAAACACCTAAAATTCATTAAATGTTGCAAAACTAATTATGATCCATCTAAACATCTCTCTAATTGCTTAAAATTAATCGAAAATAATTCTCTAAAAAATATAAAAGCCCAATAAGAAGCCTAGGGCTTAGGCATTGTCCAACTAATGGGCCCAAGTTTAGCCCAATAGGCTCAAAATCACTGTACTATAAAATCTCGTTCCCAACTCACAAACCCTACTCTTTCTTCTCCGCTTCGATCTGAGCAAAATCCCTGCACACCGCCGCCGTCGTCGTCTCTCCCTTTTCCGCCGGCAAAAATGGGTCGTGTTCGTACCAAAACCGTTAAGAAATCATCCCGCTTAGTTATCGAGCGCTATTACTCCAAAATGACACTCGATTTCCACACCAACAAGAAGATTCTTGAAGAAGTTGCCATCATTCCATCGAAGCGCCTCCGGAACAAGATCGCCGGATTCTCAACTCACCTGATGAAGCGCATCCAGAAGGGACCAGTCAGAGGCATTTCGCTCAAGCTACAAGAGGAAGAGAGAGAACGCCGTATGGACTTTGTTCCCGATGAATCCGCCATTAAAACCGATCGCATCGAGGTCGACAAGGAGACAATTGACTTGCTTGCATCTCTCGGCATGAGCGAGCTTCCTGGAATTGTGCTCAAGGAGGATACTCCGATGATTTCCACTTCGATTCCGGGGGGATTCGGTGGTGGTCGCGGTGGATATGGTGGTGGAGCTGGGAGAAGGTACTGAGTTCGAATTTCTAGGTTTAATTTTGGGTTCTTCATATGAATTACGGTTTTGTAACGGTTTTAAGGCAAAATCTATGCACTATGTTTTTCTGGGATTTCCCTTGAATATCATTTCGCTTTTGGTCCAAATTTGTCTTAAGTTTTATCTTATGTTCTTCAGTAAACGATCACATTATTGTTCTAAAAATCAATTAGTTAATGTGATATTTTTCTTGGTCGATTTTGAATATGGGTTTTGATGGTTTTATGCAGATCAGAACTAGGTTTTGTTTGGGTGTGATTTGCACCTTTAGTATACTATTCTTAGGGCCTCTTTGTTAGTAGCTTAACGCCACTCATAGCTTATTCGTTCAGCTATGTAATGGTATAGAAAGTGGCTTATTCAGTATGATTATAGGGGAAGCTTAAAGTATAAAGCCAAATTTTTTGGAGCCTGTTCATCCCGCAACTTTCCTCTATGAAAAAACCCTTTCGAACAGTGAGATTCACAATCTATATAGACATATTAATCCGCACACAGCTTTATATTCATACAGGACTTGATGGAAAACCAATCAAACTACCTCTTAGACCATCTTTGTAGGGAATTTAAAGTTGCATCATGTCTCACTTGGCTTGAATCTCTTGATTTCAGTTAATTTGGTTTGGAGGGTACATAAGTGAATTTATGGTTTAGAAATGATGTATTTGAGCATCCTGTGGTTGTGGGCTATTGGCATTTGGTCATTGGTTTTTGGTTTATTTGAAGTTGGTAGAAGATGATGTTGTTTTGGGATTAAGGTTTTCTGTTTGAAGATTGAAAAAGTTTATGTAGTTTGATGGTTGGAAACATGTGGGCTTGAACAATCTACGTTGATGGATTGTTGCAAGGTTGTTAACCGATGGAATTTGGATCAAATCCGATGGTGAATATGAATTACGTAATCACCTCGTGATGTCGCTGGTAAACTGGTTCGACCTTAATCAGTCTTTAACTGGTTAGGTCTTCAAAACCAGTCTCAAATGCCCATCTCTAAATTGGGATTGGGTCCGACCTTAACTGGTCTCTAACCGGCCCCAAATGACCATCTCTACTCTGAACTACCTTTCGGCGGCGTCAGTCCATGTCTCTGCCTCCCCACACGACCTTTAACTGCCTTGTGCCTTTGCTGGTGCTTCGCCCTATGCCCTCACGCCCCACAGCCTTTGCGCAGTGAACTACCTCATACGTCTGTTGATCTATGGCTTCGCTGCCCTACACCGTCACTGCTCGTCGACCTTTTCTACATGAAAACATCGGTCTTATCAAATGGGAGGAGAATAGTTGGAAGAGTCGTACATTTGTATGACCATTTCTAATTTTCCTTTTTTACAAAAATAAATCAAGCACCTCTAATTATTACCAAAGTTATTAGATGTATGTGTATTATATGGAATTCAACTAATTCTATATAAACTATCCAAAGTAGTATTCGTACTTACCATTTTATTTTATGGCGGTTTTTCTATTTTAGCAACAAAAGTATTTATAAAGTAACACCTTAGCAAGTTGCTACGGTGTTACTTTATAAATGATGATGTAACAAGTAGGATTGGGTATGTAGTATTTTAACAAGTTGCATAAGTGACATCTTTACGTCATTATTTTGTAAATAACGCTTTAGCATCTCATGAAATTGCTACTTGATTATTTGAGTCGATTAAGTGCAAAATTTTGCACATTATATTTCAGAAATTTCAACAAGTAAGTTCGGTTCAAGCTAAATTCAAGTTTGAGTTTGAAATTTGATTCGAGCTTCAAACGAGTTTGAACTCAAGTTTAGAAAAATACAATCGAGTTCGAGTCGAGTTTAGCTTTTATCTACTCGCGAGTTTCCGAGTCGTGTTCAAGCTTAGAAAATGACTATCGAGTTTGAAACGAGAACACCAATACTCGAGCTCGACTTGTATCATTTACATCCCTGATTACAACTAGCACAACACACTCACCATACCATAAATACAATCTCACGATACAATCAACTTATTTGGACAACAGTATTAGAGCCTACACATCGGTCATCAAGTTCGCTATCCCCTTCTTTACAAGTAAAAAACTCGACAAAATTTTAAAACTCGACTTGTGACCCTTGCAAACCCCACACGATAAGATCAGGCGGGTTTTTCTTACCTTCTAAAACGAGAAATCAGTTGCTTGAATTTGCAAGTCCGACCAGATTAAGCATATTACGATCTTCTTTGAATCGTTCTAGCACGCTACCTTTCAATCCCTCTTGCTTTTCGTGTTGACCTCCCTTTGCTACAATTCCCCAACATTCTATCACTTCCGCGTATATTTGGCTGCTTTTTGATAGGCACGGACTGTTGAAGGTGGCACCTGTGAATGTGTGACCATGATCGAAGTTTGATGAAATGAACAAGTTGAAGTGGCTTGTACGCCCACCAAAACCAATGCCATTTGGGATGCTATCCGAGCTGAAGTTTACGCCACACTGCACGATAAAGAAACATCAATCAGAACTTAACGGATCGCTTGCAATAGTGTTTTTCTTCCAACTCTTGTAGAAAATAGCACATCCAGTTCTTAAAGGAAAGACAAATGTACAGCAAGAAAATGTAGATATATTTTTCCGTTGCATTAAAATTGCAATGCTAATCCACACGGAGCTAATGATAATCGTTTTAGCATTGTCGGATATCTAAAGTATCTTAAACGAAAACAAAATCGACCCATGTTAAAGATTAACATTAATTATATTATTAAAATATTCAATAATACTAAAAAGAAAAAAGAAAGCCCAAAAACTCCAAGAAATCATTTTTCTCCATTTTTGAGGAAGCTGTTAAGAGACTGAATCCAACTCAATACCATCAAGTTCTTGTAACAATGACAAGAGCATCCGCACTGGTGGAACCTCCAAGAACCTCACTTTCCATATTTTTTCTTGACACATCAACAAAATAAGAACCTCAATAAAACTTCAACATGGACACCAATCGTTTTATCTCGAAACTCAATAAAACTCCACATTATTGCCGCATCAACCCAACAAGAACATCCATTGTGGATGCTCTAACGCGGACACTAGTCAATTTATCTTGAACTTCTTTCTCTAAAAAGAAAATGTCAACTTTCATGATACATTCCAAAAAGAAGATTGCAATTTTCAATAGGCCTTCAATTTCCAACTTCGAGATTGGATTTATAAAGTGTGAAACACTCGTGAAGTTGAAAAGAAACTTTGTAAAAGATGGAGGATCCAGCAAGCCGGTTACCACAGTTAGCTACAGGTTAAAGATGTATCAGTTTAGAGACCTTTTGCAACATCATTTGCTATAATTTCCATTTAGTTGTCACATGGGAAGCATACCAGGGGTAGGTTCGAGTGAGAATGGAAGTTACAGTGAGAAGGGTAAGAATGGATCTCCACCCTTGGATCAATCCTAATTGGAGATCAACACTAATGAGATGCACCGGATAAAATTCCCGTGAGAAGCGCAATTCATGGGGTGGGGTTGAGATTAAAAGTGATCAAGGGTCCAGATCCCTTCTTACGCTTCTCCACTTAACTCCTATTCTCATACGATCCTTCGTCAGAATACTATTGTAGAGCATGTTATTAACAACTTCATCGAAGAAGATGAACTTACCCATTGTATATTTTTGTTAGCACCAGTAGGTCGATATATAGATGCTTTAGGGTATAGCTGAAAAAGGAACGACTTCATGTCCCCATAAAAGTCGGCATGTCTCTCCCAAGGCTGGGAAGCATAACCTCCATAAATGTAGCCTTCCTTGTCCTTGATAATCAACACAGTTGGCCCTTCAGCATTTCTGCAGGTCAGTTGAACAGAGAATTGTTACAGGAGAAAGACCAGTCCTGTATTCAAATTGAATATTGAAAAGCCTCTGGAATCTACCTAAAATTAGCATAAAATTACTGGGATTGAAACTCAATTAACCATGCATGTTCATAAGATATATCGTTTCCGATTAACATTCCTAACTCCTAAGCTTGCACTCGGTAAACTTTACTTTGATATGATTTAATCTAAAATGGTAAAGACCCGTGAATGACTTCCATTAGTACATTCTTTTATATCATCAATCAACATGATTTCATTGTTAAGAAGCATGAATCATGGTAACTCATCTTCTTTTCCTATGTGAACTCATTTGTTAGTCACGGGTCGAGTCATGGCAATTCTATCTGCCCTTGTGTTGGGTCACGTCCACATTGAAGGAGAAATTTTGCATAGTTTGATTGTATGGACCGGTGGACTCAGACCCAGACGACTAAGGAGACCAAAGGCATCCATACTCCATAGCATGACAAAGGAAAATGTGAACTCATCTGTATCTAAGGCAAAGAGATAACCATAGGCCACTTGGCCGTTAGTCTAATTCAATAGTAACAGAATAAAAACATTTGTCTCACTCATGTCACTCGACCAGCATACAAATGCTTAATGATGTCCACATGCCAGGGAATTCCTTCCTCTCAAGTCTCAAGGTCCTATATCATCACTCTCATTCACACCATATCATGTGCTATATATTGATCTATGAACACTAGATGTGAATCTTTTTTCTATCCCCAGTCTCTCTCCATAAATCCTTTAATCAAAAACATACTCTGCCATTTTATTCATCCCGGAGATATATATATATATATATACGAAGGATCGTGTGAGAATAGGAGTTAAGGTGAGAAGCTTAAGAAGGGATTTGGACCATTGATCACTCTTAATCTCACCCCACCCCATGAATTGCGCTTACCACGGGAATTGATTATGTGCATCTTGGTGCATCTCATTAGTGTTGTTCTTCAATTAGGATTGATCCAATGGTGGAGATCCCTTCTTACCCTTCTCCCTATAACTTTCATTCTCACCGGAATCCAACCCTATATATATATATATATATATATATATATATATATGTATGTATATATATATGTATGTATGTATATATATATGTAGGGAAGGGTTCAAACGAGAACCCCTGTGATTTACGAGAACGCAAGAACAACCCAATAACCTCATATTGTGATTAAAAATAAAATTAAAACTTTTTTAAAATTTAAATTTAAATTTAAAAAGATTCAAAAAAATTTAAAATTAAAAGGGTAATAATGGAAATGATATCATCAAATCTTTTAAACACGATCATTATCTTTTAAACACTCATTATTATCATTAGTCTTATCATTATCTAGTAAAACGGTTACGAAATAGGTTAGAATTATACTAGGTGTGATAATCATGTGATATGGGTGTGATAATCATGTGATAGGGGTGTGATAATCACCATTATACATCACTTGGGTTATCGTTTTGGTTAATATGTTAAAATTTTGGTGTAATCATATAATAGGGGTGTGATAATCATGTGATATGAGTGTGATAGGGATGTGATAATCACCATTATACATCACTTGGGTTAACGTTTTGGTTGATAAGTTAAAATTTTGGTGTCATCATGTGATTTGGGTGTGATAATCATGTGATAAGGGTGTGATAATCACTGTTATACATCACTTGGGTTATCGTTTTGGTTGATAAGTTCAAATTTTGGTGTAATCATATAATATGGGTGTGATAATCATATGATATGAGTGTGATACTTATGTGATAGAGGTGTGATATGAAGAAAAGATGTTAACGAGAAGAAGAAGATAACTACCAAGAGTAAAACGTGGAACGTGAAAAGATAATTATGGTTAATTAAAATAAAATAAAAATTATAAAAATTACTTAATTACATTATTGTCCTTATTAAATTATTTATATATAATAAAAGTTAATTTATTAATTAAAAAAGTTTGAGGTTATTGGGTTGTTCTCGCGTTCTCGTAAATCACAGGGGTTCTCGTTTGAACCTCCACCTATATATGTATGTATATATATATATCTATGTATGTATATATATATATCTATGTATGTATATATATATATATGTATGTATATATATATATATATATATATGTATGTATGTATCTTCTTACACTAGTCTCAATAGCAACCTACTGTAAGTCGATCCCTAAGGTTTAGCATATGACTCATAAGCCTGCTCTATTCATCTGACATATTGCCCCAAGATTAGAACACCTAATGACATAATGTGGCTATCTCCATAAAGGATCTTAAAACCTCTACATTATACTATCAGGACCTGAAGCACTGTTGACTTTCATCTTTCTCAACACTTCACACCCACTGCTTCAGTTCTACGTAACAAACCTCCATTTAATGTCACTGAAAGAATCACCAAGTTCCCCTAAACATTTCCTTCAGTATCTCACTGAAGAAATTGTCAAAATAACCCTCCGCCTTTCATTAACCTCATGATTTTTTACTAATAGCATCCTACCCTTGTCATTGATGCATTTGATATGATTTAGATCAGCTTGGCCATCAAACTAAGCAAGAAAATCGGAATACAAGAATCTTACATGGAAACTTATATATTGTACCATTTACCTTTCGCCAATTTGGATCATCTTTTAAGATCTAACCCTTACCAATAGATGGTTCCCCACTCATGGTTATCATAATCACTTCAAGAGAAAGGAACCACCTTCCTCCAGTAGAAAATGCCAAGCATGTTTAAGGATTATCATACCAAATATCCATACTAGGAGTAGGAACCCAAATGGGAGCTGCGGTACAAATAGAACCTATCAGTTTCATCAGGGCTTGTCCAATGACTTTTACCGTTGATGATCTACAACCGGGACTATCATCTACTTGATGTTCCAATAGCATGGTCATAACACGAACATGGAGATAAACTAAGATTTCATTGTTACACTATGAAAAGCAAAAGGGACACAAAGGATTAATATTTGTGCTAACAGATTTAGGAATGTATTTGATCCGCAAATGCCACATCACTCGTTTTCCACTATGACATTAAATTTCTTTTTAAAGTAAGGAAGGGTCCAGAACAGCCTAAATGTACTCAGGGTTGATGGAGTTAATTAAGCTCAAATGGCACCAAATAACTAATAAGTTCAACTATATTTACAGGAACTAGAGACAAGATCCGGAGCTTATTTTTAGAAGAACAAGAGCATTCATTATACAACTACTTGACTAATACATAACCTCGTTGAATTTATCCTATACATCTTGCCAAACTAAATTATTAGTTCTATATTCCATTCCTGTTCTAGTATGTGAGAGTGGTCATCAATCATAAAAAGTCGGTGGAATAAGAAATGCACCATGCCATATAGGAACTAAAAGGAAGGGATAGACAACCACAACCCATGTGGAACCCGGAATAAAATTCAACATCAAGAAGTGATATGCTGCATAGACATATATAACAAGTAGAAGAAACACAAGTGACATGGCATAAAAGTATTGACTAGGCCCATTTCCAGAATACGAAAAATGAATTGGTGGAAAGTAAGCTACCCACGACATATTGCCCAAGAACGTGTTGAAACTTTGTCCATGAAGTGCACTATGATACAAAAGTTTCCATTCTTCCAATTCTTGATGTGAAAGAGCTCCTCCAATGTGCCAAGCATACTCCTTTAATAGCAGCATATTAGAATCAATGTCATCCTGATGAATCAGATCAGGAACTTGAGAACCTATTCCACAGAAATATTGTGCAAGTTAATATCAGAGTTAACAACTTAGCTTTGCTCATTTGTCAAACAAAACATACATGGATATTAACCCTCAACAGGTACATGTTAAAGACACAAGTACCTAATCATGAGAAACTTACAAATATCGCATCTACTTCAGTTGCACATAAGAACAAGGCCAAAACAAGATGAAAAAAAATAAAAATGATGGCAGTAAGTTTCCTTAACAGCAGTTCCATTTCAAGGGTAAACTTCATTGATTCATCCATCATCTCACAGACATATGACTCAAGAAACACCTACTTTCCAGCAAGGACTGCTGCCTATGTATTTTTTTTTTAATACAATTATGGTGTATTTTACATCATTAATTGAATTTCAAAGTAACAACATATATATATATATATATATATATATATGCATATCTAGTTACCCACATACACGCCCATAAACAACATCCATGACATGTAAAACAGCAAATGATGAGCCAGATCAAACCATCTCTCCAAGAAAAACACACCACAAACGTGTTAACAGGTTTCTCGTATAAATTGATTTCTGCATCAAATTCTATGATGAGAAACAGATTAAACAACGATTGTGATATATTAGTAACGAGATCTATATCTATTTTGAATCTTAAAAGAATACTTGGTTCGAAATTAAAATCTCCAAATGTCTCTTTTTGGAACATAGGGAGTAAATATCAATACATAATTAAGAAAAAATAAATACCTTGAGAAGATGGCTTCAACAAGCTTATGAGAAACTTTCTGGCAGATGGAACAAAGCGACACCAGCTTCTGAAATCCTCAAAGGACATACTTCTTCCACAACTTCCTTCGTTATCCTTTGTAAAATTGGCAGCATCTAGGAATATTCCAATCGGCCTCTGCTCCGGAGCTGATGAAGGTTCATAATTTCTGGAAGATGATATATTATCAAGTATTTCACTTATAACAGCTTCCAAGTCGGACCTGCCAATCAACGCAGAAATGTAAGGAATATAAAGAACAAGAAACAACAATTACCTATATGCACCGAAGTTCATTATTGCATGTTCAACTTATAAATAACCCGTATCTGACTATGTGCACAGAAAAACTAAAATCAACTGTATAACGACTTGTCCACTGAAAATATTTTCAAACAATGAACGAAACAATTAAAAAAGTGAAAATAACAGGCCTATGATTGAGACGTAGATTCATTACAGAAGCAGCTTCAATGCCTAAACATGTCACAATTAATAATGGTGAAGTTTAGACTCGCAAACATAAAAGGAACTTTCCTCTCAATGAAGTTAATGCCTACGTACCTAAATATTCATAAAAGAATTATAAAAACCCGAATCCTTTTACCTCGTTAAATTGCCATCACCATCAACATCACATAGTTGATAAAGAAATTCATCGATCTCCTCTTTAGTCCCTTTTTCATAAGTTCCCTGAATTAAGACCAATGTGCAAGTACAAGTGAACTTGAGCAACTAAACATTAGGTGCGGAAATTCTCTATAAGTATTAACACCTAATAGTGAAATAAATATGAAGTAACAATATTGATCATGTATCATGACAAGATTCCAATCACAGAGGCAGTACTGCAGAAAAATTAACTTACTTTAGCAATTACAAGGTCTTCAAAGGTGAGTTTTTGATCTTTCCGATTCTGCGTAACTATATCATACAATCTGTCGCCAAGAGGACCACTAATTCCAATATACGCCTAATAGAACATTAATTCACAAATCATAATAGAAGATAGATTTTTCAGACAATTAACAACGAAATACAAATATGAAATTAGTGAACAGAACGAAACGAAACCTTGAATGCGGAGAGGGAGATGTATTTACCGCCGCTTTGAGACTGGGCGGCGAGAGAACCGAACAACGATTTTAGATCATCGAGTTCCTTCTCGGAAAAAGCTCTGTAAATTGAAGAAGGTTTTACTAGTGATTTGTTGTTACTCACGGGAATAAAGATGCATATATTGATAGGTAACTAACCTGGTGGCAGAAGTGAAACGAGGATCGCCGGCAGGCGACTGAGCGTTCCCCATCTCTCCGGCAGTCGCCGGTGATTGATCGATTACGGGAGGTGTTTATAAAAAGGACGTTGGCTCATCGGCTTACGAACCGGTGTTTTTAGGATAAATCCTTTTTCAGAGCCAATACAACAAAAAAGAAAAATTATATGTTTGGTCCCTGTACTATGCAGAAAAATATGAATTGGATCCCTAAATTAGACAATTACCGATTTAATCCCTGAGATATGTATTTTGTTTTGGAATGGGTCCCTCCTGCAGACGTTGTTACCTTTAGCTCCGTTAGGCCATTGACGTGTCCCTCACAAGAGGGGCAGTTTTGTTATTTAACTCTTGATTCGACTTTTTAATTGATTATTTTTTTGTTACTTTTCCTTTTCATTTACGTTTTCATACGAAAATCAAAATGAAAATTCAATCAAAAATCTAAAACCTTTACCACTTCCTTTCTCAACGCAAACCCTAATCATATAATTACCATCTACACGAACTCAAATTCTCAACCACAATTGTCCTATTTTTCCCCTCTCCTATACGTCGGCCTCCCTCATATACAACCACTATTGTCTTCTTTCTCACCATCGTTCCCAACCCACACGATTGTCTAACACCCCACCCCACCCTCACCCTCACCCTCACCCTTTTCCTCATGTGGTGTTGGAGGAGCATGAGTGACCAAGTTTTAAATTGCATCCCCAATTTAAGAGTTATAGCTTTTTCATGTGGATGTTCTGGTTCTCAACATTGGAGTTTTCGGTTTTTTGTTGATGTTCGTAAATCGTTCAACATCACTTAACATTGCTAAACTTCAAGAAGGTCAAACAAGAGCAACATGGAAAAGGAGGGAAGGATGAAAGCAAACTACAAGATAATAGTTGTAATTTTCGAACATGCAGATTCAAGATTTTGTTTGTTTTATTACATTCAGGGTTTTTGATTTATACGGGTTTTGTATCAAAATTCTTTTTTGAAATAAGTTTGTTTTGTGCTTTTTATGTTCATTATTGATATTCTTGAAGTATGTCGATGTTTTTATTGTGCATGGATGATATTGTTGTTTACGTGAATTAATTAGGGTTCTTGAAAAAGAAAAGGAAAATGAAAAAGAAAAAAGTGAGAGTTAAATGGAGCGTTAAAATGACAAAATTGCGCTGTATGGCCTAGTAACAACATTTGCAACAGGGATCCATTTCAAAATAAAATACATACCATAAGAACCAAATCTGTAAATTTTTTTGATTTAGGGACCAATTCATAAATTTTTACATACCATAGGGACCCAACAAGTAATTTACTCTATTATAAATAAATATTTTTAAAAAACTGTATTTTATGCACTTCTGGAGTCAATTATTTTTTAGTGTGAGAAAATTCTTTCATAAAAAGGCAATTTGTCGGCACATCGACATGGATAAGTTACAAGATTCGTCCCTCATTAATGTTATTTTCAATATGAACCATAAACTTCTGTTTTTTTCCCAACTTTTGGCCGTATTTTAAAATCAAATTATTTTGACAAAATGATCCGAATTACAGGTTGTTTATCTGAATTCTTACTGAACGTTTATCCGTAAGAGTCAACATTATGACCACCTCATTTACTGGATAAGTTTCTTCATCTTTATCATCGTCCTTAGCGATAAAAAAATCTCCATCTTAAATAATTAAGTTTGTAAATTGTTTTTATAAACCAGAAGGATACTCGCACAATGCAGTGAGACACATTTTTATTTTAATGTTTTGTTTTTTTGTCTCGGTTGATGTTATAATATAATTTTATATGATTTTGAGAAAAACTAATGTTTTTATTTTTAATTAAAATCTAAACCTGAATATATATTATAAAAATTGAAAGAAAATATTGATATTAGTACCAAACTAAATATTTAAAATTTATCATTTTCATTTTTTTTATTTTTAGTTTAATAACATAATTTTTTAAGATAATAATTAAGTATTATATTATAACTTAATGATTATTTTAATTATATTTTGGATTTTTTATATTTAAAATGATGTTTATCACATATTTGATTATGTTTATCTGTAGTTAGTTATACGAATTTATAATATTGAATTTCAAGTAATATGCATCAATAAACAATACTTTACGCATAAAAATGATTTTTAAGAGTTTTTGTCAAATGCTTTATAATATAGTAAGTATCGATAAATAAATTTCATCTTAAATAAATCTCTAAACATTTTTTTTAAATAGACAAACCATTAAAATTAGAAAATTTTGGTTTTATTATTCAATTTGCAATTATTTGACTAAATTACAAAAAAAATGGCATTCAAACATATATCTGGATCGTCTCCAAGCGACACTCTGACCACGTTGGTTGTTTGTTTGGCAGTTGGCAATATCACGCCAAAAGTTTGACAAGGATTTCATATCACCTGGCCTGCTATCTTCGATCCACAAGGACTTCACTTTACACTTTCAACGCAGATTCATCGTCATCAAAGGTAAGGTATTCCTTTTCCTCCTTTGCTGTGTATTGTAACCGCAATTTGTGCATACCTCCATGAATTGATGTTCAGCACACTTCCAATCACATAGTGTGTTGGTTTGATTTAGTTATTTACAGCGAACTCATCATATGATGTGGATATTATGTTATTTGTTTCTTAGGGCTTCTAATATAGCTGATTTGACTTTGCGAGTGTCTGTCGCACAGTGATGCTGTTCCCTTCTGGTAAATTAGAGGGTTGGATGGTCGAACTCCGTGACTCCATCCGCCTTCTGGTTTCATATACTATGTCGTAAATAGAATAGGAATTTGGGGAAAGAATCAACATTATCTTTTGGATTTCTGTTCGTGTAAGAGAGATAACACGTGTAACGGTGTAATCCACTTACTAGAAAGCAAAATAACTAGGGTTTTATCTGATAAGGGGGATATGGATGAATTACTTCTATAATTTTGATTTCTATGGGTTCTCAATTGCTAGAAATTTGTAGACTTAAGCATGAATTAGTAAGTTTGAGGTATTTGATTTTTTCTGAGTTAGGTATCATGAATCTTTCTTTTAACAGGGTGAATAGTTGGTGGTTTGCCAATGTCGAGGCCACTTCTATTAGTTTCGTTGCTATTGTTGATGGTGTTCACTTCTCAGTTTGAATGGAACCAACACATTGTAAATGAGGTCGAAGCAAGGCCGTTGGCTCTTTCACAGAAGCAGCAGTATATATTAGAGAGGGAAGAATCTGTCAAAGAGAAGGCAAGTCCTATTACTATTTGCTCTGTCCTCTTTCTGAATATTTACTCAGCTAAGCTGTATGTTATTTTACACGTTCTCTCTATACATAGAGAGAAAAACATCAGAGGGTTTAGGGTTCGGTTCAAGTGACATCTAAATGTGGGAGGTTCTGTATTCTTTATGTTCATAACCTATGAAAAAGCAGAACCTTTCATGACTTGCATTTAAATCTGGGAAGTATTTTCATTCTTTCATGGTTAAGAATATTTCTTCAACTTAGATTCCTAAACTACTGCAGATTTAGGTTTTCATCATTTAGTTGCTATGCGAAACAAATTGTAAAGGTTCCAGCTGATCATGGGTGTTAAACGCAATGTGCACTATAGTCTATAGTTCATTAATCTCAGTCTCCAAGATACATGTGTGACATGTATGTTCGTTTATGCATTTCGGAATTCCTTTTGTGGAATGCTAGATTAGCGACTACATAACCAATTTCTTAAAATTGTTTGTGTTTTGTATGTGCATATTCATTGTCAGTGGTTGCAGTCACACCATGATGAAGCCATAAGGAGTTCCATGTTGTATTTTATTATTAACTTGCAGTAGCTGAAACTATTAGTAGATTTAGGTGTGCCATGGCTAACAAGGATTAGCTAGCATCAGACATGGTCATGGAAGGTAGGAGTATTTTCAGTGATCTTTTTGTGTTTTGATTGTCCAGAAACTTACCGGGATGGTCTCTAAACCATGCTTGGTGGAGCAAAATGTGAATGGAGATTGGGACTAAACAATATTTGGGACAAAAAAGATCTGTGTAGTCAAGCCATAAAAAATGGATTAAATTCTGTCCCAAATGTGCACAAGTAATGACTAATGAGAAGTATAGCCTTATGGTATTTCATGTCACATCATGCCTCATTTTCTTGGTCGTATCCCATTCACTCGGCCCATCCCAAAATTTTGCTCCTTGTCTCAGCCATCACATATGACATCAATCCTCCTACTTGTGTTGCATAGTGTCCAGGGAGCACTTTCTGTGCTAAGGCTTCTGGGTTCTGTGTGTGGAGGAGGAAAGTATCAAAGCTTAAGAACTGCACTACTATGCTCCATCTCTCTCCTTCACTCCCTCCCTGTATTGCTTTGACTTGCCTGATTGGATTTATTATCTTCATTAGTTTCTACCTAATTTCATATTCATTAGATCAACCTTAACTAGGAGGCATTGCATTATGATCTTACGTACTCAGTTAGAACATCTGATCTTTATGATTGTTTAGATAGACACATAGTCCTTCATACCGATTGCTATGTCATGAGGCCATTTTTTTGTCCTTGTCAACTAAAGAAAGCTTAGGGATAGGAGGCTGAACATGGTATTGATTAGAACTTATAGATACCATAAACAATGAGGATGAGCTCATAATTCAAGGACAACAAAGACAGACATAAAGAAAAAAATATTAGAGGAAGAATGAATCATTATTCTATGTGTCCGCTATATAAGATTTAAACTTGACGAAGTGACTAGAAATTCATTTTCTCCACTCTCTTACCTAAGTTCATCCTTTTTATGATACACCGGGATATGATACTTACCGAATAAAACATATCAATATGTGAAATCTGAATGTGATTAACTTGACTAAAATTTGCATAAGATGTAGCACAGTAATGAGATATCGTATTTTGTTTAAGGTAGGAAATTCGCAGAATAAGATATATGTGAGTTGATATCAAGGTTTTCGCTTCCAAAAGTGAATCCTCATTTTCAAAGAAATTAGGATTGAACTAAAATTTAAACCTATACCAAGACTATTAATATCCATCAAATTGGTAATGCCTTAAAATTGATAAGCAACATAAATTGTCCCCACCCATTATAGATGGAGGATTTGAGGTTCCTATATGAATTTTCAGTAGATATGATTTTGAATCTGTTATTAGGTCTGTGATTATAGCATAAGTTACAAAGGTCACAGTAGCAACTCATAGGTAGTGTATGCATACATGTGCATGTATGGTCATATTCACTATCCGGTATTTGAGGTTAGGTTTTAAATGTTAAAGGATATAAGAACTCTGGGCTTTCCTTCGATATAGAGTTGGAATTAAGAGTTTTCTATAGAGTTAGGTATAAGAACTCTATAGCCCCACCCTAAATTCATAGTCATCAAAACTTCATCTGGTGTGCATATCTTGGCTTCCTGCTGAATCTGCTGTGTGTCCTGTTCAAACAACTCTTGAATAATTATTTTGTTTTGGGTCAAATTTGACTAAAATGTTCATTATAACTACATCACTTGTTATGTAGAGAGGGTTAGTTAATTCTTTAAAAGTTACAAACAACCAAGGAACACTCGTGAACATTGAGATATTCATTGAAAGAAACAGGGGATGCAAAGTTGGCAACTGTGTTGATCTCCTCAGTGGGAAGATTCATGGTGTCCTTAGAACAGGAGGTGGTTTAAGGCTAAACAAGTTCAAAAGGGGAATGGACACCCTAGGGGATCAGGAAAGTGGGAGTTATGACTCTGCCAGCTAGAGAGTACCAGTTTTGAAGTGGAGATCCAACAAAAGTCACAACCTCTATCCTGTCTTCTTTGTCGGAGCTCAACATTGCCACCTCAATGTTTCCTAGATTCAATTGGTCTAGCATAGAGTTGGGTCATCATCCTCCAAATAAGCTGTGTAGTCCGTCTACTCACCATGGCTTTTGTAGATGGAAAAAAGGTGTTTCCTTGGTCCCATGTATGCTTTCTGGGTTTATCAGGTTTTCATTTTTCTTTTATTTTTTTATTTTGTCATACCACATGCCCACGCTGCAGTCCTTATTCATAAAGGGTTTTCCCTGCTGTAGCAATTACAATTAAAAACCCTAAATGTTCACATGGCATCACAAGCTTAAATTTAGAACTCTTGCCAAATGTTAACAGCTGCTGTAATTGCCAGCTATTTAAAGGGCTGCATCATCAAAACCCTAGCTCCTGTTGAACCAGTAACGCCAACCCCCACTTGAAGCTGAGATGCCATTGACCATGCAATCCTTGTTGTGACCCTTATCATGTCAATTTGAGATTCTCCTATCCTTATCAATTGTGACTCCCTGTACTCACTTGATACGAGTCTAGGAGATTTTACTAGTTGGAGACAGACACCAAAAGCATATCTAGGTGAAAAAAGCAAAAAAATGCTCATTGTCAACTGCACATCCGTTGCTAACGAGGTTTTCTTTTCTACCAAAAATTTCTTCTGACTGATCTTTGTACCCTTTTTTTATCTTTTCGTTTCTGTATGCAATCATGATACAAATGAGTTTGCGTCCAGCTACCCACTCAAGTACCCTTTTCCTTGCTATCCTAGCAGTTAGCACAAAAAAAACTCATACCTATACCAGATATCCCATATAAATTTGCCTATGCCAAGCTTTTCATCTTTGTTTGATCTCCATATGGTTTGAACAACCCCCTTGAGCATCGTTCAAACGATTTTCACTGGTTCTCCAGTTGTTCGGTGTCCTTAACTATATTCCATTTCTTACACACTGACATAGCAAGGGAATCCTTCTTATCGTATATGTGGACGAATTGGTCTGAGGGTGTTACTGACTTGAATAGTTTCGTTGTAAACAGGTCCTGATCTTGTTTAGATCCGATACCTTCTAGGTGTAAATCAAGAGACCTGCCCATACCATCAGGATGTGAAAACAACTAAATGATCGATGATACGGGAAAATAAGTTGGAAGCATTAGCTATCCTATTGTTACAGACCCCAACTTACTTGGTGAATGTAATCAGCCAGTTGTTTACTAAACTTCTTACATTGGCCATTCAGATGTTGCTATGCATATCTTACATGGCTTATGGGAGTGCCTCAGAGAGAGGTATCTTAGATTCAAACCAGGGACATTGTTTAGTATGAATATTAAGGATCATGAAGGATTGCCAGATTTTAAGATGCAGACTGCATAGATTGTATTATTACTCGGAGGTTTACTTTGAGTACTTCACACTAGCTTCATAGATAAGAAAAAAAACAAATAACCTATTGCCTTGCATTCAAATAGAACTTGAATATCGTGCCATGGTATGTTGCTTATGACATGACTTAGACTAAACATCAATTGGTGCATGAGTTAGGCACTCGTAATAAATTAGCAAGATTGTACCATGATAAGTAATGTGTGATCCATATAATAGGACCAGGTGTTTCGTAATAGGGCCACCCACCTGGAGTTTGATTGCTACCTTGTATGCTATCATATTGTGGATACCACAAGAAATCCTCCTACCATCCAACCTATCCACATATAAACTGAATATTAGCCTGGTACGTATCTTGATGAAACATTATGAAGGTGCAAGTTGGGCATAACAGATATCTTTGCTTCATCTTAAGGAGCGTTAGCTCTGCTTTAGTGCTTCTCTGCTGAAGATATGGATAAACACCTTGGAGATGTTGATACAGAAGAAGAAGAAAGTAGTCAGAAAAGATATCATTCGTCTTGTGAGGCTCGGTGTTATAATAATGTGGAGAACTGATAGATGTCTTAAATCAGAGGATAACGTCTATGTGAATGAAAAGGTGATGAGGCTGGCTATGGTTTCAGCTTTTGGGTGGCCTCCAAATGAACATATTTTTACAAGAAAGCTGTAGCATGAATGTGATTACTCAATTAGACATATTGTACAGAGGTCGGATAGCATTAGAAATTCTTCTCCAGCCTTGAGATGGTGTGGTCATCTTGATCATTCATCTTTGGGTACACCTATTATTAGATGAGACTTGTACAAAGAGGATTTTTAAGAAAGGTAGAGATAGACGTAGATTGACATGATGGGAAGTAGTAAAGAGAGACTTGAAAGATTGTATTATACCAAAGGATTTAACCTTTAATAGGAGTGTGTGGAAGGATGCTATCCATGTCTTGGAACCATACAAGGCATTCACCTCTTTACGTTTTATAATGGTTTCATTTTTGGATTATCCCAATTAATTCAAGATAAAAAGCTGCTTGTCGTCTTTAAAATCATTTCCTAGTTATAGTAGTATGTTTTGATTAATTATCTAGAAAAGCAACCAGATGTCTGCTGGCTGTATGTATTTTATATATCTGAACTGCTTATCTGTTTCTTGTCATTGCAGATAATCCTATCTCAAGAGAAGCATATTCAGAAACTTAAAACACTAGTGCAGAATCTTCAAGAACAGTTGCTGGCATGCAGGGGCAAAGATGAGTATGTAAATGACACTACAGGATCTTTGACCGAGCCTCTAAATGGACTAAATCATCAGCAAATCATGGAGTAATCAAGATTGCTTTCTTTGTGTAAGTAATATTTACTCTTGATTATAGCTTCAGTCAGATGCCATGTCTAAATTGACTTATACACCCCAACTTTCCCCGCATATATTACTGGAGATGCCAAGATGGGAGTGTTTGATATATGAATTTTTATTTTTATTTAACCCCATATTTATAAAACTGGAGCATCTCTATATTAGCAATCATGCGAGTTTTACATGTTGACAAAATGATCATCAACAACACACAGACATATTCTCTGGACAATCTGTGTTTCATGTTCTTTAGCCTTTCGGAATTTAGTGGTTCTGATGCCTATTGGAGAGTGGATATCCTTGTTGAGTTGATTGACAAAGGGGTAAGGTATGGCCTATGGCTATTGATATGTAGTGAAAAATCTAAGAGCAAATCGGCATCAAGAGTGTGAGCCCTTAGAAAAGACATAACATTTACAACAAAGTCAAAGTTAACGTGTATTATTTTCTTTTGACATTATTTTTGGTTTGGAGATATCCAACGTGTACCTTGACACCGTTGGTGTAACTGAACACAGAAGTTAGGGTTCCCTAGTGTTTACAAATAGAATTTATTCTTATGAGTTACCTTGCATCGGAATTACCCAAGGAGTTTCATCTGTTACCCAAGCTTGACCATGTGGTGGGTACTTTTTGCCTTCGTTCTTTAAATAGACGAACGTGAAAAACTTTTCCTGTGGGACCTTAAGTTATTCTCTCTCTATATGTCAGGTTGAAATTTTCACTTTGATAAAGTAAATGAAGTCTGTAAATTTTTCTTTATAATGAGCTACTATGGTCTTGACCCGTGAAAGAACCAAAATTTTGTGCATAAGAACCTGTGTTTTTCAGTATTAGGAATCAAGAGACAGACCCACGTTGGATATCAGTAAATTTTATTACGGAAGGTAATCGTTTTTAAGATTCCCAGTGATTCTTTACTTCCCACTGTTACTGGTTGTGTAGTTTAACATGGATTATCAATTGTACTTCAATTTACTGTTATACATTCAACAGTTATGATGGTTACTGTTCTACCATCTTTCGTGAATTCCATAGTTCACCCTTTTCACTTTGCAATTGGTGAAAATCTCTAAGCGGTTACTGAAAGAGGGATGTTTCTCCAAATATCTTTCACTTGTGTTGTTTCAACACCCTCTATGAGGAGTAGAATACAAATGTGCCTCATTAACAGAACTTCTTGTTATGATATATATATATATATATACACACACACACACACACACATAATAGGGTCATGTTCAAGGCAAAACCGCAAAAAAATGAAAAACTGAGGAACATCTGGTAACCATTCATCTAGACAGTATGCATATAGTTACCTGGGTGTTCCTTAATTTTTCATTTTTTTGGGGGTTTTCCCCTAAACCTTTCTCTCCCTCTCTCCCTCTCTCTCTCTCTCTCTCTCTATATATATATATATATATATATATATATATAGAGAGAGAGAGAGAGAGAGAGACTTGGGATCATGTGAGACCAACCTGTTTTCGTGAGACCCGTGAGATCACCTTTTTACACTTGAAACTTCATGGTAAAACACTATAAAGGTAACCTTCACGGTGTTTTATTGTGAAGGTTTGGATTTTTTTTACCTCACAATATTTTGCTGTAAAGTTTCAAGTGTAAAAATGTGGTCTCACGAAAACAGGTTGGTCTCACGTGAACCCAACTCTATATATATTAATATATGTTTGAAAGGCATTATTCTGATATTTCTGTGCCTAATAAGAAGACCAACACCCTACCAGCCCTCCCTGCCACACCCCTTCCTCTTTAGGTTTTACTTTTATAAACCCAATTGGAGTATCTTGAATAACCAGTCTCAGTTTCAAACCTGGGAACTTTTGTTACGTTACATGGTTTATTCTTGGTGCATTCTGAAGTTTTTAAGCTGCAATTATTCCTCATATTCTGCTTTTTCATCGCATTTTCCCAAGTGATTACATCTTTGCACTAATATAAACTCATGACTTTTGTGCCTAAACAGGTATCAATGGAGGAATTTTAGCTTTTTTACGCGGTTTGATAAACATATAAAGCATAACACAATATCCCTGTTATCTTGTTTGAGGACCTCTAAAAACAGGTTAGTCATCAAAATCTTAATTAGTGAGCCTTAATTACATCAACCATAGAATGGGCCTGCACCTTCATAAATTATGATCTTAAGGCTGCACTTATATTAATAGTTGGCAGTCTGTGTGTGTATTGAAGAGCTTTGAAATTACATGTGCACATTCAACACTCTATGCTATATACCGTTTAAAATTTCCCCCCAAAAAAGTTGCAAATTTTGCAAGTTACATGTATTCGAGATGTTTTTCTTAAAGTCGGTTTAATTAAGGCGGGTAACACGTTACCATCGCTATTTATTTGTGTATCGTGACAACTAACACATTGTCATTGTATCTATATTGCACACTAATTAAGGATCATTTAATGAGCACCTCTAACTTCTTGTTCCTGTGTACTTGAAAATTTAAGACCACACTTTCACTTTAAGCAAAATCAACCAACAAGTCTTTGACATTACATGTAATAATTTGTGCTTATATGCACCAATCTCTCACAAATTTAAAAGTGAGATAAGATTGGTTCTTTGAAGGGTCAAAATCAAATGTTAACATCATTTTTATGGAAAATTAGTGATGCACACCCAACTTTTAAATGTGTTGATTTGTCACAGTAGGAACATGTTATTATTATACTTATTACTAGCATGTAACGTCGAAGTGGCTTTACTGTCACGATCCATTTAGATTTATTTGTCCGTCATCTAGACTTGTAAAAGAAAATTACTCGTTACTGTGAGTGTAACACCCCAAAGCAGCAGGCTAGTCCAATGACTTCGAATCCCAGTTAAAATCATAGTGGAAGTTATTGGTAGCCCATAAATAGAGGCCTATAAGGAGCTCAAAAATCCCATTTTCTATCCACGTGCGACAAGTTACAAGCTTCCCCATTTAGACTCCTGACATCCTCGATGAGGTTTGCCCCACCATCTGCTTGGATACTATTTGTAATACCCCAAAAGCCTAAAGCAACAGGCTTAACCAATAACTTCGAATCCAACTTAAAACCATGGGGGAAATTATTGTAGCCCACAAGTTGAGGCTTATAAGGAGCTCACAAATCTCATATTCTATCCATATGGGGCGAGTTGTTACAGTAAGAACCAACTTTAAGTAATTCATGAATGGTTAGTTTCTAGTGTTGTGAAACAAAAATTGTAAATGAAGGGTACCAAACAAAAATTGAGGTTGATAGACATTGATGACATTTTGGTACTTACCTAGCTAAGTAGGGAAAAGCCTATTTTTATTCTTTGCTTTGATGGAGAGTTATAGTGTAAATCTCTATTTTGTCAGTGAGAGAGATCTGAGATGTTTAGATAGATAGACCTCAGGTAAGGTCAGGTTTAGCATCCAATTAATCTTCTAGTTTTACTTACGATTTGACCTGATTCTGATATAAATAAGTATGCATTTATCAACATTTATCTTTGGGTTGGGTTCCAGCGAAAATGAGATTTAGGGGCCGTTTACCAAACACTTACCCGATAAGGGCTTACCGGCAAAAATTAACATTATCATTTACTTACCGGGTAAGATTTTAGTCCATCAAAACGGCATCGTATGCAACAATTTACCCGGTAAGCACTTATCGTGGTAAGAGTCGTTGCCCTCACTTACCAGATAAGACTCTTGGACCTTGTCTTGCTCTTACCGGGTAAGATTCTTGGTCCTTACCATATTCATCCGATAATGTAATGTGATTTGGTAAGCGTTTACTCGGGTAAGCATTTGGTAAACGGCCTCTTATAGTGAGAATGGTAAGAAGAGATCTTTCATGCTTGAATCAATCCTAATTAAAGAGTTCCACTAGATCAACACTAATGAGAAGCACCAGATCAATTTCATTCTAAAGTACAATTCAAGGATTGTTTTGAGATTAGAAGTGATCAACGGTCCAAATCTCTTTTTACATTTTTAATCTTAACTCTTATTCTTACACGATATTTCGTTCCTATCTTTAACCTGATGGTGCCATAAAACATGGTCAGAACAATTGTTGTTTTGTTATAATAAATCAATTAAATTTACTTTTATATATTAGATTTTGTGTGAAAAAAGGGTCATCGACATTTTCCATACGTTTGATTGGTTTTTTAGAAAGATTGCTTATGACGATCATAGATATGGTATAATAAATCAATCAAATTTGTTAAATTTGTAACCTGACTCTATATCACGTGCACAAAAAGTGCGAAGGAATCACTGTCGATAACTTTATTGTTTTTATTTTATCATGACAACAAAATTATATGATACAATCATTGCAAGCAATAATTTTTCCAATGTTATAGAAAAACACAATATATCTTATTGTAATTTAATGGCTTTTTTTACTATTTCTATCGTTTTTCATATTTCCGGTCGACATTTTGCTTAAAACTGAAATTTTTTTTGGTAACTGTGGGTTTTCAGGACAGTTTATATGCAACGATTAATACCCTGGACCACAACACAACATATGGTTTAGGGAAAATGTCAAACTAATTACCTAAAAAATATTTACGATCATAACAAAAAAAAACAATAATACGCATTTAAATTAACACTATTGATGTTCTGTAAACATATTTAATCGGTAAAAATTGAACATTTACAGTATGGTTGTTTACAAAACGTTTACTGGCCGTTATTGAGTGAGCATGATAAGGACTGTGAAACTTACCAGTAAAAAGCATAGTAAGAACTGGAAATCTTACCCAATGAATGATGAAGAAAACTCTTATCAACAATCAATTTTAATGACCGAGAATATTATCTGATAACATACATGAGGATGGTGATTTTTACTGATTGATAAATGACCCAATGATGCATCGATTCTAAGGAACATAAAGAGATTGTTACATATGTACGAAGACAAAATATTTATGTCGTCTCTTTATTCTTCATCTCATGTAAAAATAACGTTTGCATTTCGTTCAAGGCAAAATGCATTTTAATCCTCTCTTTTTTAACATATTTAAATATTTATTTATTTAATAAATATCTATTTTTAAAAACACGTCAAGTATTATCTACGTTATGCTACCATTTAGAAATCAAAACCTACAAAATATTATATTATAGGTTTTTAAATAAGGTTTTTCAAATGTGGTTCATCATCAAAAAAACGTTTTTTTTTTCCTGCCCTTTCATTTATTATTACATGTTAATTGATTATAATATAAACAATAAGGGGTTGTTTGATAGTTGCAGAATGATTTGATGTAGAATGATTAAGAGACTCTCATGAAATAGTACAAAATGAATTATAATTGTTTGGTAATTAAGTGATCAGAATGATTAAGAGGCTCTTAAGCTAACTTAATTAACCGCACCTAATCTGACTTGGTTGGTTGAACATTTAAACGATAAGAGTTCACATTTGCATTTAAAAATCCCGATTCTGAAAAGTGGTCTCTTGTCAATTTCCGTCATTTAGTCGCATTCGCTCTTAAAAATGCTGACTCAGAAAAGTGGTCTCAACAATTTCCATGAGGACCAAAAAAAATGTTGAAAACCGATTTTACATGACATAATGATTTGTTTCATATGTGAAATAAAACGCTCGTTTAAAAGATAATATCACTTTGAATCTTGGTCTAAAATGAAACTCATTGAATGATTATAACTGATTTTCACATTTCTCGGTATTTTTATGGGTCCGATGTGATTTTTCCTCCGTATACATGTACATACACATAGAAATCAATGCGACATTAAAAAGCCTAAGCAAGAAAATGCAACATATTTATGGCTAGATATGGTTGGTTGTTTTTAAATACCATCCATTTAAGTTCATTTATACGTGTTTTAGTTATCTATGAATACTATTTATAACAAAAATACAAAGAAAAAAAAAAGATACACCACCATAACATAATCATATAATTATATATATATATATATATATATATATATATATATTAATAATAACAAAAATACATAGAAAAAAAAAGATACACCACCATAACATAATCACATATATATATATAT